TGAAGAAAAGAAGAAAGAAAAAAAAAGTTAAATTTTAATCTAAATCCTAAAAGTTAGTAAGAAGAGCTTAAAATGATTTAAATAAATAAACTAAATAGAAAAAAAAAAGTTAATAAAAAAACATTAGTAAAGTTATAAAAAAAAATTTAATTAAATTATTATTAGTTAAAAAAACAAGATTTAAAAAAAAAAGGTTAATTTATTAAGTTAATCAGAATTTAAAACAAAAATAAAAAAGAAAGGGTAAAATTTGGGGTATTACACTTTTGTAACTGAATACTAAGGTAAGGGGTAGCTTCAGTATTTTGACTCAAACTTATTATTTGTTCAGGGGGAAAAGGAGATTCCATTACTTATCCTCTAATGTTTTCCCAAAGTCTTTGTAACACAAGAGTTTCTTCTTGCTTTTTATTTATGAAATAATTAACAAACCATTTAACAAAAGGAACGAAATCCTGCTCAAGGTTCATTTGAGTGTAATACTCATCTTTAAATTGGGCTAATTTAGGTTTTGAAAATTTTTAAAAAAACCAATTTCTAAATTGAGAGTATCTCTCATGTTGAAACTCATCATTGACGAGTTGTCTCATCTTACTACCAGGGGAGTAATCTATCATTTTAAATTGAAATCCATATCTGACTAAGTAGGTGATTCTACTCTTGGAGTATGAGGTTTTTGATAAATTCCATGGGGAACTCTATTTTCGCTTAGTCTTATATTCTCAACAGCCTCTATTTCTTCTCTTATTTGAGAAGTAGAAGGTCTAGGTAATTGGCTAGGAGTTGTGTAAAATTCACTAACTGAGTGCCTAGCAGATAGAGACCTGGGTATTCTAGTTATTCTTTTTGAAGTGAAGTTTATTTCTAAATCTCCTTCAGTAGTCTGAATAATTTGGTCAATATCCCTATTAAGAATAGGTTCAGGATCTATTTCCTGGGGGAGAGGCCATGTCTCTGGAAAGTTTATTTCATCCCACTTTATTAATCTATTGGTTGCAACATTGGATGTTAATAAATTTGTTTGAACCAAAGTAGTTGTTCCAGGAAATGATAAATGCTTTGCTTTAGAATAAAGCGTAGTAAGAACCTTATAGTAGATTCTATAGCATATTGCTATGATTTCACTTCCAGGTTTAAAATTGTAACCATTAGTATGAACTGTTAATTGCATAGCATCTAATAAATTTTTATCAGTTAAAGATAGATTTAAGTTAGGTGAGACATCAAAGTAAACTGGTCCATGAGACAGACTTGTCTCAACGATAGCAGCTAAAGATTGTTTGAAATCTTTACATCTACCATCTCTAACATAAGCCATTCTGCTAGAATTTAAACCTAATAATGTTAAAGGTTTTAAAGCAATTTGAACTAATCCAATATGGATAAAATTATAATTTTTAAAAGGTTTCAAATCTTTTTTGGTGAACAGTTTTATTGTCTGAGTTTCTTTGGAATAAATTTGAATCATTTGCTCTAAAGTTTTAACAGCAAAACGAGAAAAAACATCTATCTTACCAAATCTATAAATTTGATTAGAAGGAACGGAGGGTATAACCCATCTGTTGAGTTTATCCATATTTTTTGGATACTCAACTAATTCTTCATTTTTTATTAAATTAGTTTGATGATTATCATCATCAGAATCCATAAAGCAGCACGCTAAGAATGTTGTGATTGGTTGATACGCAAAGTTAAATTTAAATAGATAACTTGGACTCATAACATAATGTTAACTGAAACAACAACCAATTAAAAGTCATCTAAGCAAACAACAAATTGTTTAACTATCAACCCGAAGGGATAGAAGGATTTCTCCCAAATCAAAGATGTCAAAATGCTTTTAGCAAAAAATTTCTTTTTTGAAATCATCAACAACTCCCTTCCCTGGGAAAAAGATGAATGTGAGAGAAAACACTAAAAACACTTTTTAGTTTTTTAAAAACACTTTGAAAAGGTTGTTTGCTTGTTAATAAAATGTTATGAGAAAAAGTTACCTACTTAGTTTTGTCTAAGCATAATCAACCTCTCACAACATAAATTTAGCCACTAATTTTCATAATAAATTATGCAAAGAAGAAATATACCTTAGATTTGGTAAGTCCAGGTGATGATACCAAAGTTTGTATTTAGCAGAAGCAGGATCAGAATAGTTTGTATAAAAGAGAAGTATAGAAAGTATAGAAGTAAAGGGCATGCATGAGGAATTGAAAGAAAAATAAAATTTAAAATTTTTGTCTATAGATCGACTTATGAAAAAAGGTGTGTTGACCTATAAAGGTCTCAGGTCGACCTATTTAAGGCGACACATAGGCAGTGGCTACAGACTTTATTATTTAGGCATGAGTGTCGACCTAAGTGAGTTATGTGTCGACCTATACAGTGATTTTCACACTAGAAACTGAATTTTGAATGCATGGATCTTGCCTAAGTCAATTTCAATCATTTCCAAACATGTTTATATGAAACTTAATGTTAAGATGAATAATGCACATCTAGAATTTGGTTGATACTGTCCAATGTACAAAAATGCTAAAGTTGCTTCTAGTTTTGACATCATTCAAAATATAAGTAAACGGAAAGATGCACTCACATGATGGTTAACATTGCTGTCAATGGATGTGACGCCTGATGCGAGGGACCGCTGGATAGATTCCAACCGTCGAGATGAGCGCAATGTCGAGCTCTTGTGTTTAGCTCCTTGATAAAAGTACACATGTTTGTCGTGAGTGGAACTCTAGATTGAGTCATGTTAGGTTGTTCTTATATGACCATTTGACCGGTCTGGAGCTAATATACTTATTTGACTTTTAAAAATAAAAATAAATTGATGTTTTTGTTTCATTTTGTATATGACATATACGTCTTAAATATTATCTTAACGAAAATTTGGAAGATAATTTTTTTGTAATTTCTTCTATTCTTCTTTGTGTTCTTTTTCATATGAACTGTCTTCTTCTTCCATTAGGAAATTTGTTCAAATCCAACTCATCATCAACATTTTTAACATGGATATTTAAGTTAATATCTAAATTGTCTTCAACATCTCCTCCATCTAAAGAATTTAGAACCATCTCTAAATCAACAGAGTATTCAGCATCTTGTTCATTCAAAGAGTCTGGTACTATTTCTGAAAATGTCAGATATTCATCCTCTTCATTATTCGAAACAATTTAAGAATTTAAAAAAATCCTCTATTACTTCAAAAAATATTGTTAAATTGTTGGAAGTTTTCATGATAAAAATCTCAAATACAAATATGTCTTCAACATATTTAAAAAAAGGAATGCTATGATCATGTTTATAATAAATATGTCATATTCTCACTAAAATAGACTAAAGAGATCTAATGACATTAATGTTGGAAAGAAAAAAAATTTGAAAATCAATATTCACAAGTTAATTTTTTTGAAAATACAAGAGTCTGAACTGATTTGTTTTATTACAATATATGAAAAAGACAAAAAGACAAAAAGAGAATACATAAGAGTAATTTAGAAAAAACAAACTGAATTCTACATTGATTTTGTATAACAACTTATAATTTAGAATAATACTTCCACCGTCTTGCAATGAGTGATCTATTTAGAATAAAAAAAATATTTTAAAAAGAATTATCCATTTTAATTTTCAATGGATCTTTTTCAATTTTACCATTTAATTAATACTCTCTCCGTTCTTTTATAAGTATCACTTTTGAAATAATTTTTTGTTCCTTTTTAATTGTCACTTGTTAAGTTCAAGATAGAATTAAATACATTTTTGTCAAAATTACCCTTAGATAATTATTACATAAGAGAAAAAATAAAATACATGTAATAAATAATTAATAATATTATATTTAAAATAATAATTATTGTATAGAAAAGTAATAATATTGATTAGTTTTTTTATTATATATAAAAAATTAAAAAATAACACTTAAAATAGTATTATTTTTATCATTTTTAATACATAATAAGATATTTTAATAAAAATATCATTATCTCTTATTTATTTACTCATTTTTCTTAATATTAGTCAACTGATCACTCATTATAAGACGAAAAGAGTAGATACTAAAGAAATGAATATACTTGAGCCTGAGTCCTTGTGAGTCATGCTATCCTATTCACATGAATTTTGTTCTATCTAACGGTTGAGGCCAGGATACTGAGTCAAGTGATTAGAGCAGGAAGACCATCCTATAACAAAGGTCAACGTGGCAGACATGCACATCTGTCATGCTCGATTCTCTATATGATAATTGACTGCTTCCGCTTTTAACGGTTACTTTCAAACACCTTCACTAGCATTAGCAACCATCCTCGTTTACCCTAGATTCCCATCCCCCACATTATATCAAATAATGGACCCCGGTGCTATCAACAACATCCCCTGCCTATACCTTTTTTTGCAAGAATATTCATTTTCATACCGTCTATATGTACCAAATTAACAAATTGTTAGCATTCCAGTCAAAATAAATAAGCCAATATTAAACTAACAATTAGCTGTGTAAATAAATATTTTTCTTATTGTGTGTAGTAAATGGGTTAAGATTGGTACTAGTGTTTTTTACAATATGTCATTATAATATCAAAAACTCTTACGACACACAGTGGCCAGTAAGGTGCATAACTATTAACTTCCTTGACTTTGGTCTTTATTTGGCAATACCAATATTCACTTTTCTTCTCAACTTTTTTACTAACATTTAAATCACCCATCACATGTCTACCCACTCAATATACCTTTATTTATAAACCATTCCCACAACACCAACAAAACAACCAGTAGTTAAGTATTCTTGATATGCCCACTCCCACTCCTTACTCTCTCTCCCTCAAAGCGCCATGAGAAAAAGACGAAAAACAACCCATAAACCCCACATTCACATCTTTCTTCTAAACAAACAAAAAAACATAGTGATAGAAAGATAGAAGAAAATCAAATTTCAGAAAATAGCCCCACCATTATCACACATCTACACTTGCAGAACAAGTTCAGAAAAGAAAGGAACAATGTGCTACGTGGGAAAAGCAACAAAGATCTTCATCTTCATCGTCTCTGCGCTTCTTGTTACTGGTCTGATCATAGGATTCGGTCTTTCACGCCACCGTCGCAATAATAACAACAACGCCAAATGCTCCGATGAACCTTGCGGTAGTTTTCCGACACCCAATTTCAATTTACCTACTCCTCCTTTTACTCCAGAGAACCCCATTTCTCCCCCTGCTCCTCCGGTACAATCAGAATCTCCTCCGGTAACAAATCCAACCCCTCCGCCGCCGCCTGACTCCACCTCCACCTCCAACCCTCCTCCTCCTCCTCCTCCTCCTCTGCCTGACTCTAACCCTAACAACCCTCCTCCACCGTCAATTCAGTCGCCGCCGCCTCCTCCGGCGAATGTAGCAGAGCCACCGACGAGTAGTACGCCGGGATCGGCGGTAGTGAGTCCAGGTCCTGTACATGCTATTTTCTAGGTTTGTTGATTGGCATTTTGGTTTTATCGATCATTGAAGAAAGGGGAAAATTCGTTGGTGGTTGTGGATTTGGATCTGATAGCTTTTTTACTTTTTATTTATTTATTTACTGAGAGGTGATTATGTTTTTGATTGAGGATTGGGGCATGGGGTGAGCATCTTTGTGAGCTGGCCTTGTGTAAATTTACTGAGTTGTCCCTACCACTTTAATTTAATAATGACTCTTTGCTTAAATTCTTGTTAATGTTTCCTTAAATTTAACTGCCAATATTGTTGAAAATATTGTTTAAACGATTTCAAGTTTGCTATTTTATTATTTTGAGAAAATTTATTGACAACGTCTCACACATTCATAGATCAAAATGGATTACAATCATACAATCATGATTCCATTTCTCTTTTATGCTTATGTATGTTTGAAATTGTGTTGAATATAAACATGTGATCAATTGTATGATTTTGTTATGTGTGAAATTACCATGGTCAGAACTAAAGTTTTGGCAATGATGAGATTTAGACTTTGTTCATATGATGTTATCGGATTATTTGGACGACTTTCATCTTAAATATTTTGTCTTTTTGAGTCTCATGAGATTGAGTTCATTTCAAAAATTAAGGTAGGTCGGGTTATGGCTTATAACCAAATTGGGCACAACCAATTTCTGTGGGCTGGCACGACAAAGACCACTATAGGTAGAGGTGCAGATAGGTTGGGCCAAGTTAGACTTTGTCAAACTTAAGTCAGACTTGCTAAAAAATTTAAAGTCTAAGTCTGACCTGTGATCTATCATAGACTTATTTTTTGACTCGAGCCTAACTTTTTCGAAGGTTTGATTAGCCAATTAGCTTGCCTAAAAAACTTATATCATTTAACCATAAGCACATAAGCAATTCAACTAATGTTTAAATATACTAGAGAATCAAAAGTACAATGAGACTGAATGTTTTTCACATTGACTTATTTGAGTTTACATAGTAGCATAAGTTTCATGAAATTATTTGTTTGGGAGAAGTTATGAAAACAACTTATGACATTAAGCATAAGATTTTTTCAAATTATTTTCACAAGTTCTTTGAAATAACTAAACTTTACTTTTGGTGCCTTGGGCAGTTATCCCCTTTGTACTTCTCAAAGCTGGGCACTTTGAATTTCGAAGGTATAACCAGATCTGGCACGAAACATATGTCATCAAGACTCAATGTGCTAAATCCTTCCATAACCCTCAATTGTTTCTCCTTATCACGATTTTTTTCTACGCATTCAGCAACTTGATAACGCTTCATTTTTTGTCATCAGGTGGGCATCCTGAGAATTTGTCATGTTCCTTGTAAATTGAGGATTCCCTTCATCAATGTGAACACTGGGGTTCTTCTGCATAATGAGGAATTCGTTAGACATTGGGATAGTCAGGAAGAAGACCGTACATTGGGTTAGTCACCATGATAAAGCCTGATGGGGGACCGACATTCTCTGTAACAGCATGCTGAAGATTGTTCTTTGTCATAGAAAATAAAACTTACAACATCTGGTCTACCTGGCCTTTTAAGATGTCTATATTCCCTCTTATCTCTTCTTGATCCTACTTCAAGTGCTCTATTATCCTTCAACAACTACCACAAATTAACTATGTATGTCAGGAAATTAACTGGTTGGTTATGGACAAAAGATGAATGGTTTTTTTTTACAGGCATGCATGTTGATGAATGCAGATGCAATGCATGTGAATGAATGCAATTATTTTTTATGGTACATAGATTCAAAAGTCTAGAGTACGAATGGATCTGATTGCTTTCCATAAAAAGGATCTCACTGGGTATGATCTAGAGTTCGCAAAGGTTTCCAGAGTTACAAATCCACAAGAATGTTTGCCAATTATGAAAAATATTCTGAGTGAGGTTCTTCGGTTCTGAACATGGTTCCCATAGTCATGGGTTCACAAAAATGTTTTCTTCTTGCGGCAAATACTTGCAGGGCGTCAATTTTTGAGAAAATCTATTATGAGCGTCAATTATTTCGAACCTTATGAGATATGCACCTCGGGGACCCATACCATACAACCATCATTCCTAGTTGGCGAAAGGGGTTCAATGTTCTGCAAAGGTTCTTTGAGTCACGAACCCCTATGAAACATTGAAGCGTACGGTAAATATTTGTCAGACGACAACACTTTCAAGAGGATCTACTCTAAGTGAGGTTCTCGTGTCGACCCTTACGAGGTATCTACCTTGGGGACCCATACTACTCAACTATCATCCTATCTCATGTTTTCACTATAGATTCGGGTAGAAATTCCTTCCCACAGTGTCTTTGCAATCAGAGTATCAATCCAATACCGTGTCACAATAGAGCCATATAACAGATTATAAGATATAGTAACACAATAGCGATAACAAAAGCATATGATAAAGAAAATCCATACGAATAAACAAACATAAGCACATAACAAACCAAACTAGACTTGACTCACTTGAGAGGAATATTCCCCAACCTAGTTTCCATCTGTCATACCTTAAAAAAATAATATGACGCTCGTAAAGCGCAATCACACGCTCGCAAAGTGAACTAACAAAATCACCACCGAACTTTATTTATTCCCAAATACGGAAAGGGAAAATATAGATAAAACCCCTAAAAGAACGATAAAGATATTGTCATCGTAACCAAATTAGGGTTCGGGAGCCGATTACGCAAGGGAAAGGTATTAGCATCTCTCACGTCTATTGTACTCAATGGGAACCATTTATTTACTTGTGCGCATAAGTTTTAGCTTTCAAATTTTTGGCTTCTTGAGTTATTAAAAGGTTTGAAAAAAAAAGAAAGGGGTCGTAAATTTTTTTATATTAAGGTGCCTGACGAGATTGCAGGTCTCACTCCTACGTATCTCTAGATGTGATGGAGAACTCAAAGCTACATATTTTTGGATATAAAATGTTTGTTTTTTGGTCAATTTTAGCGAAATATATATTGTAACAATCGACAGAAAAATATTGTTTGCTACCCAAAACAGTGGATAAGGGAACGTTTGCATCACGACAGAATGGATAGACATATCAATATTCGCAAGAAAACGTTGCTAGATTACTCACGCATATAAGTGGACAAAGCATTGTCTTGCATCATCTTGAGATAAAACATCTTTCATTTGAAAAAGGGTTTTAAGGTAATCGGGCGACAGCGAGAAAAGAGTTTGGTATTTTGGATATTTTTGGGTGATTACGAGAGCTCGAATGGGCGAGATATCCATCTCGTGTCCTAGCCTCTAGAGCTTGTGATATACACTACGTTCCTTTTTCATCTTATTTGCAAAAGGGTTTGATATTTTTAGGTATTTTGAGGGTTTTCAACCGAAAAAGATTTGCATCAATCGCGTTGAATTTTTTTATGGGATTATGAGAGCTTGGATGAGCGAGATATCCATCATGTTCCTTTTTCTTCCTTATATGCGAAAAATTGTTTAGTAATGATTACACGTTTTGGTTTTGTTTGGAAAAAGAGATTGATGTTGGATTAAGTGTTTAATTAGCGATGAGAAATGGTTCGTCAAAATGGTTTGAGAATAGTTTTGAAATGATTCATGAGGAAGTCTTATAAGGATCAACTTTTGATCTGGTTAGATAAGCTTCCTTTGATTTTACTTTCTTTCTCTTTTTCCTGCCTCAAGACTTGGAAAGCACAAGCTGGAATTAATCTGTGTCATTTTCTGAGATATTTACTTTAGTAGAATCATCTTTATTTTCTACCATGTTAGTTCACGACTCTTTGAGAAACTTTTCATTTTTGTCCTTAGAAACCACATTTATCTCCTCAACATTGATAAGTTGTGTAGCATCCACAAACTCTAAAGTTTTGCTACTTGAAACTTCTGTTGCATCACTTAGTTTGCCACTGTCCGAAGATGGATATTTATCTAGAGGAACCACATCTGGTATGAGGATAACCGTTTCAACATTCTTCTCTTCAAGACCTTTGTTAACTCCATTTGTCAACCCTCTTATAGACTATTCCTGGTCACCTTTATGATGATTCACAACAACGGTAGGATAAACATGTTCCTTTTCTCTATAGATTACCTTTGTTTTCATAGTTTCAATTCTTCTACCCATATTCCTATCCTAAAGTTGGGGTTTTCTTCTGCAACTTACATCAGAGTGGCCTGAAACTTTGCAAAAATGGCACAATTCTAGAACTTTCTCATATTTTATATCAACGAAGAAAGCGAACCCAACTTTTTCCACCAGAATGTTATCTTTGCTTTCTTTCTATAATTCAATGTCCATTAACACACTGACGTAGTGCCTAAAATACCTCTCCAAAGGTGATCTATTAAAGGCCGAGTCAATGTAAATGGGGGTTCCTAGGCTGCTTTTTATGAAAAAAATTATTTTAGGGCGCTGATATTTTAGAGATAGACCATGTAATCGAACCCAGATCTGAGCAGAAGTGTAATCAACATTGTTAGGAACAAAATCACTTGTCCAATATAACAACTTCAATACACCCATGCTTAGGTTCCAAGAAGGCATGGAACAAACACACCTAACATCCTCAATATTTGAGAAAGAGAACTTAAAAAAACCATTACGGAGCAAAGTGATGCCCCATTTCAATGCAAATTCCAAAGCTTTTCCAAATTTGTTCTTAGTTGAGCCACGACTAATGGTGAGGAACCCTTAGGTCACATGATCATTCCATTTAAGTTATGCTTGCAAGAATCAAGGAATCAAGCCCAATTAGGTATTCATCCCATGCAATCAAGATGGTAAGCCTATCCCTCTTCACACAAGGAGTTGGGAGTTGGCTAAATGGGATGTCGCAAACATTTCCTAACGCTTAAGCGAATGATTTACTGGGTTCACTAAGAAGCTTCTCTTTGTAAGTAGAGATTGCACCTAAGAGGGGGGGGGGGTGAATTAGGTACTTTGAAAATTTTCCAGTTTTAAACTTATATGTTATAATTTTTCCAATTGGTTGCTAAGCTTTGAAAGCGATAAAGTGTAGA